GGGGGGGGGGGGGGGGCGGACAGTGCCGAGGGGACTGCCCGGGACACATCGCAGGCAGGGGTCTGGTGGCAGTAGCAATGGCCTGTGCCGGTGCACAGGGCAACACGACAAGATCTGGCTGTTCGTGGGATGGCGAGATGCGTGTATATATGTGCCTGCACGGCAGCGTACTGCGGCAAAGCATGGTACGACAGCAGCGCTTGCAATAGCGTCCGGCGGCCGATGCTGGGACTGGCGCCGGTCGCGGGCCTCCGCATCCCGGCGCATGGCCGTGCTGCGCGCGATGCAGCTATTCCAATGTTGTGGGGGCCCGCATCGGTCAGACACCGTCAGGGGCAGATCATGTCGCACCTGCTTCTTGCTTTTTCGCGAGAGCAGCGTCCAAGGCCGCACGCTGGGCGTCCGTGAGGAAGCCACTCGACACGGTACCTATGGTGGCCTCCATCACGCACCTCGCGCCAGCAAGCACCCGCTCCCGCAAGGCTGATCTGGCAAGCCTCAATCCACGGTGTAATGTAGGAGCTCAATGGGTGGTCTTTGAGTCAGCGTCAACGTGTATGTGAAAGTTTAGGATATGGTTCGTTCTGGGGCTTCCTGTGCACATGTCGCTACCTGCACCTCACCCTAGAATTGCGCAATCGCCCTGCTGGTCGCACCGCCAGTGCCACGCGGACGGCCATGGCACGGCTGGCTGCACCTCACAGGCTGCCACGTGATGTGGATTGCGGCGCCTTTACACATTTGCTATTGCAATCGCAACTGCAAGCAAACATGCGCTTTGGGTTGTTGCGCTCGCGTGGTCGGGCAGATGGGCCCGCGCTGTGCATGCTCTGTATGGCCTGACGCCCAGTGCAACGTTTTGCACACAATTGATCCTAGCGTAAAAAATTGGTCAACTCTGAATGTCAAGCCACACGAACCTACACCAGGGAATTCGGAGCGGCACGGTTGAAAGAGGCAAACCGTGCGGGCAAAAACCCGACAACGCCCGGCCAATTCGGCGCGAGGTGCGGGCAGGCGGCGGGCCGTGCATGCAGCGCTGCAGAGGGCCGGTTGCACTTGAGGTCAATACGGCTGGCCTCACGCCGACGCGCGCAGGCGCACGTGCGGCAGCGACACACCAATCGAGGCCCCCACCAACCCGCCGCGCCACAGGCCCTGGCCCTTCGCTGATCAGCAGCAGCCCATCACGCCGCCGTTGTGGCGCCGCCGCCGCCGCTCCAACTGCAACGCGCCGCCGCCGCCGCCGCGGCGCCCGCCGTCCCTGTCCTGCAGGATGGCGGGCCGCATGTCCAAAATGGTGCACACCATGCCCCACACGAGCGCGTCGTACACCCCTGCGTCGACGCCGCCGCTGTCGGTCTGCAGGGGGCGAAAGTGCCACATCAAGCGAAGAGGTTAAGCAAAGGGGTTGCGGCGACATCGAAATCGAGGGCACGGGGAAGCTCGGCTCTGGTTTGGATGGGGCAGGGTGGGGGGCAGCGCAGGGGCTGCTGGACCCCTGCACCTGCTGGCCGGAAGCACGGGGCGGAGGTTCGCCAGCAACAAGAAAGGGATGATTGGAGAAGATCACTGGCGCGACGAGGTGGCGGGCGGGGCGGGGAAACAAATGGGGGGGCCGCCACGGGCGGACGGGTGGGGGTGTCGCAGTGCGGGGTTTGAGGTGTGTGTGTGGTGGGCCCAAGGGTTGGCCCACCTTTGCAGACGTCTCTTTGTAGAGGCAGCCGTGCTCCCGCGCGAACGTGGCGCCCTCCTCTGGGGACACCTCCCGCACAGCCGAACCCTGAGCAAGGCGGGTTGCGGCGCGCGCGGCGCAACGGGGCCCCGCAGTCGGCGCGCGCCGCTCGCATTCTCAGGGGGCAACCTTGGGCGCTCCCTCGGGCGCACTAGCAGGCGCGCAGGCAACATGCGGACGCGGGCCATGAGCGGCAGACTCAGCGGCGGCAGCGCCAGACAGTTTGTGTGAGGGCTGGCCGGCTTGCAGGTGACACTGTATTATATTTCCAGTTGCGCCCTGATCAGCGCACCAGGTCCACCTTGTTGCCAACCACCATCTGTACCGCGTCCTCTATGGTGGAGTACTGCTTGTAGT